GAAAAGCGCAAGCACTTCAGATTGATTTAATAAATAAATAGTAAGTACTTTTCTATATTAAGTAGGTACTTAACGATTTTTTTTACAATTGATTTAAGCTATATCGTGTTATAATATTCTAGTATAAATATTATTCTCTTCCTTTCGAAAATTGGGATTCCTGTTTTTAAGGACGTTTTAAATAAATTTCACCTGGAAAAACACTCACATCAAAAACAATTATCTTTTTCCTCAATCATTATCGTTACCCTCAATTATCGTTGTTCCTTTATTTCGTGCTAAAATACTAGTATAATGGTAACAGTTTTACCGTTTTTTTGTTATTTATATTCCTTTTATAAAAATAATTAATTTGTATTTTCTCAGTGAGCCATTGACGCCTACAACTATTCGACTTTATTACTAAAAAAACATCGATAACGTTAATTTTATTTAATTCTTTAAGTATTATTAATAAAAAAATTTAAGTTAACATTCCTAATTTTATAATTTTTATTAGCAGAAAAAATAAATTAAGTTGTTTACCTTTATAAAGGATTCGTATTCACATGGGAAATCATTCGATTTGTTGGCCATACGCAGCATATTAACGTTGGTTTGAAAAGTTGACTGTCTTTAAAGTTGTTCGGACGCAAAGAGGATCGCCACTAACCCGATGCGTCCAATTCATCAATTCATACGAAGCGAGTATGTCACATCGGTGCCAAGAGCGGGCTTAAGCGAGGACCGGAACGACGCAGTCGACTTTCGACCGTATGTAATACGTCATACAGGTAATAATGTACCGTTTCATTTATTCACCCGTCCACAGATCAGACTCCGTTACAGAAAGTCGACGTCTTCTACCGAGTGTGTGTGGTGCATGAGTAACAAAAATCCAAATTTGTTCAATATTTCTCTTATATGTTAAGACTGCAAAGGCGATTTCATTAACATTAAAATGTAGCTCACTATATTAACTCAAAAATATTGTTATAATCTACTCAAATTTGTTTTGTCTGCCTTTCTATTTGCTCGAAAGGAATATAACCGGGGCGTCTTAAAGCTTTGGCCAGCCAGGCTTATAAAATTGTGGCAGTTATAAATGAAACTAAAAAGTCATTAGAAAAATTGGTCCACATTTTGTATAATTAAGATCTGTATTGGTTCTGATATCTTTTATTTCCTTACTGCTCTGTTTTCTTTTTGGTTTCCTTAAAGCAATATCATAGATAAGTGACTTTTATTCGTTGTACTTAATATATACGTATATGTTGACGTTTATTACAACTTACATAGAACAGCCTCGAGGCCACGACGTACTTTAACAAGAGCAACTTTCCGCGACTGAACCTTATAAAAGCAAGTAACTGTGACCGCTAGAGAAGCGGAGCAGACCTTAAAGTTATTCTACCTGTTTCCAGAATGTTCCGCGTTTTCTCCCAGAGATAGTTCAACTATGACTAAATTTTTTGCGGAAATCATAAGTTTAAGCTCATTAAAATGTATTTCACTCGTCTATATTATAAGACGTATTTCATTTATGTATTCTTCTTTCTTTATTTAAATGCTCTTATTTTATTGTTCTGATAAAAATATTGAGTTAAAAACAATCTTTTACATATGTATTTTCAATATTATTAAATACAGCCTCATTTAATAATATTGAAAATACATATATGGGCTACTTTTTAATAAACTGACGTTCATTTCTTCAATTCCATTCAAGATGAAATTTGATTTTCTTAAAAGTCAAATGGAATTGAAGGCGCCATCAAAAGCTTCTCATTTCTTTTAACTTAAAGACATCAAATAAAATGACTGCAATAATTCTAAGAGATTTTGTAATTAAATAAACGGTCCAAGTGTTTATACTAACTTAGTGGTCTTATTAAATTATTTATCGAATCCATTTTAATCAAAGATTAAAAGAGCTTTAATTTTATGAGAGCTTGTAAAAAATTCAGCATATAGAACGTGGTGGCAAGAAAAAAATTTAACATATTTGAGGAAAAAAGATCAGCGCATAGATTAGAAGTATTGAATTACTATTACAGAATTTAAAGTACTTTATGATCTAATACAGTACATACAGCTAAAGCTTAGATTAGGAAACAGTTTAGTCGAAATACTTATTAAAAATCGCAGTATACCTGAAAATAAATGATGCTAGAAAATGCGCTTAAATATTTTGCAATAGTATGAAACGATTGAGAATAAAACGACGACATTACGGAGTCTCGCGAGAATAAGTTTATGAATGACCATGTAAAATAATTGGCGGAAATGCCAGACTTATCTCATGGCCTCCGCAGATGGCAGATCTCTGTGTCCGGCCGAAAATATCCCAGTCTAGGAGCGGCGTTCGTATTGCGGTCGGCAATCCGTCAGTCAAAAGTTGTGTCACTGTTAGTTTTTTTTTAAGTGAAAAGTTGCCAAACGAGCAGACAGTTCACATGATGGTAAGTAAATACCGCCGCCCATGGACATCTGCTACACCCGAGGGTTTCAGATGCGTTGACAACCTTTTGAAAATTGGGTTCCGGCTACCTCACTCACCAGACGACACGAAAAGTACGAAAGTATTTGTCATACTACTTACATACTTTACGCTGGTCTTCTATGAGGTCGTGGTACTTATAGTAGGTGGCCTGCCCATTCGTGCAATAGCGGAGGCTGCTGCGTGGCCCTACCACCGACAAAGTTACTGACTTGGGTGTAATATAAGAAATAACACTTCACGTAGATGCTTAAAATGAGGCTAATTGCTGAATTAGGAATACCGCTTACTATTACCTGTATCAAAATTTACTGTGGCAAAGCCACGCAACAGCTTCTGTTGCACTAATGAGCATACTCGGTACGGATAAGTGTCAAGGCCTCACAGCAGATCAACGTTGAAGTATTATAGTTTCGCATTTCGTCTAATGACTGAGTTAACCGGGGGTCCGCTCTTTTAAACATTTTCCACGCATCTAAAATCCTTCAGTTGCACCTGCTCGCTTGACAAATTTTCACATAAGAAAACTACAGTTTATTTTCCAATATAGAAAAAAATTACCATAAGCAATGGAAGTAATACTGCGATATAAGATGTACAGAGATCCGGTATGACAGTGATATTTTAAATTGAACTACACGCGTACCATGGTTTTACTGTAGTAAATATAGTAAAAAACTCCTATTTCTACTTCTCAGAATGTGATCAGAACATGGCACTAAATAAGAACTTATTTATATGATGAAAAAACCTACTTCACTTCATTAAAACTAGTAACATATGGATAGATGATGTCAATGACATATTAACAGAATTTACGATATGTATAAATTACCTAGTTAATACAAATTAATAAAGTAAATATCTTTGTTCGCTTCATCATATTTATATTGTTTAAAACTAACTCTAAATCTGCTTTTTATTTATGTAACATTATAAAATTGCACTTTCTTGCCAACGAATCCAACGGTCTTAAAAATGTTTATAATATATATATATAGGAAATAACAACCTTTGCTAATATATTGAATTAACTCAGGTTTTATTATGTTTACAATAGCTTTTTGCAATAGCAATTGCAGTACTTACATTTTGAACAAAAAAAATCCTCAAGGTCTGTTAAAGAAAGCCAAACTTATAAAAAATCATTCTTTAAGTACTCTCGTTAACATTTGTAATATAGCCTTAACTATAAAATTGTCGTGTTTTGCGATTAATTGCTTTAAGCGAATTTTGTGTCAAATGTGTTGAGCACGACAGCTATCCAGATATTGAAGTTTTTTTTTATGTGAAAAGTTGCCATACGAGCAGACAGTTCACCTGATGTTAAGTGAATACCGCCGCCCATAGACATTTGCTACACCCGAGGGTTTGCAGATGCGTTGACAACCTTTTTTGAAATTTTGGAAAGTACGCGGCTTTGTGGCTAAAATAATTAAAGTACTATATTATTCCTGTTTTTTTACTACAGATTATTCACGCTGCTCGTTCTGATGTTACAAAAGCCTATCCTTAACTTCCAAATATCCGCATATATTAATATACATATTTATGATTATATAGGGGTACTTTAATGTTATGCATTTTCATTGGAATAGTTCCTGATAACAGACGAATAAATATAATTATTTATACAACGATAACCCAATTCTGAACACTTAGCCTAAGTGTATCTTATTTGATAAAGTAAACGAAATCGAAATTGACCGTTACAAATCTGCCACTGTTTACAATACTATGATTGGTTAGTTCCGAGCGTGGTAAATTTAAACCGACCTCATTTTCTTTGCTTGCGCCGTGCAAAAACGGCTATTCTTTATAATATCATCCTGAATTATGCGTATTCGAATACCGAAACGTAATTATCTCTTTGCCGAGAAATGTTATTATTAAATATGAATTTCGAACATTCGTAATTGACTTTTGTCAATAAATACAAACCAATTAAAACGATGTCATTACAAAATAATTCGCTTGATTGTTTACAGTTTTAATTTTAGTAGAAGACTTCATTTATACAATATTTTTTTCAAATTTCATGACTCCGTGGCGCAGTTGCCAAGGTATTGCCTTCGGCGTCGGGGGAAGTGGGTTCGATCCCCACACGAGACAATTACTGATGTAACCAAACAGAAAGTTGTTTCGCATCTGGGTGTTTGTCCACATGAAATTTATGTTTGTAAAACGTCCTTACAAGACCGTATAATCTTATGCTCATCATGGGCAAAAATCAATATAGCAAAGAGAGTAGCAAAGACGGTTTATTGAACAAAAACTTCCTCGAATTTTAGAAGGTTCCAATCGGCGACCAAACGTAGGTAGGGTACTTTTTATAAAGATTTATGGGCGGTATTACGAGAAAAACACCGTCATTTCACACACGACAACACCGTAGCCATTGTTGAGAACAAACGACACATGAAATAGTAGGGAAAATGGAAACACAGGGACCAAGTAGCACAGCACACGCAGCGTTTTTGAAGACAAAACAATGCAACGAGTTAGAGCAACAAAAGAACTAGTCGTGTGCATCACCGCCTAATTGGAGAGCCGGTCGAGAGTGCTAATGGAACGTACGAATAGGTCTCCACATCCGGCACGGGGATAAAAGTTATACAATGACAGGATTCAGAGAAGAAACTATTCGCACTTTAAAAAGGATCTTTGACGATTGTTACTCATATGATTATTTTTTGTTTACTTATACGGTTTAATTAACAGAACTTTAAGTAAAAAGTTTAAGATAGTTTTTTAATTTCTATGGAATAGCTCTAGGCAGCGGAGGTTAAATTGATTAAACATCAAATCAATGCTAATGCTAATATTTTAAGTAAGCACCATTAACAAGAATTGAGCAAACAAACCAGTTTGTAATGAAACAAGCTTATCTGATTTACCGCATAGACAAAAAACGAATAGTCCTTCAACCTGTCACAGCTTTTAATCATGATGGTAGAGTAAAATCTGCTAAATAAGGTAAATTTTTTCGGATTCTTCCTGATTAGCTGTCAAAAAAATTCACCGCGCAGTATTTAAAGAGCAGCGCAATTTTTCAAAATTGCCAACAAAAGTCAGGCAAAATTAATACCTCGAAACAAGAAAACAACAAAAGCAAGCGAACCTTTTTTAAACCGGCGAGACGGAGTGCTCTCTGCAGTTTCGCTGCCCGCGTCGTAGAAAGGTAAACTATAGGAACCGCCTCCCCGCCTTCCAACTCAATGTCGAAGTCGTTAACTGCCTCGCAAAACTTATAATCCTGAAACTTTTTTGCTTCACTCTTCATTAGTTCTTCGGCACCCCTTTCTTTGCTTATCTCATCATTTAAGACTCCCTCGGAAATAAAAGGCGGGTTCTCGTAAAGGCGGGTAAGTCCGTTAGCTTCATTTGAATCTTCGATACTTTTTGAAAGTTGCTTATTGAGAATCAGCGATTCGCCTTCATTGTCGTCTTCGGGGTAAGTTCTCAAGAAGTTGTTGGTCACTGCACTTGGATCACTATGTTCGCTATCACAGTCCTCTATCACAACTGAAGGTATGCACGGTTTCGATGACGTGAAGGAGTAAGCGCTCCACCTCATACCGCTGTTTAGACGTCCACACTCCATTGTTACTAGACTAAATAGTATCGATGTACTAGTTTTGTTTCATTATACAGTGGCTATCAGAATTAACGTGGGGCATTCTAACTGGATGCTTTACGATGACGTGAGGGGCGTTTACGTATATTGAATTTCATTTGAAACCTAATCAAATATCTAATCAAGTGCACTTTTAAATATGTCGCGTGAGTATAGTTTTGGTTTACTTTTTTTTAATAAAAACTTCCACCTAGAAGTAAGTGTCTTTAATGGAAAAAGCAATTTAGAGTAAAGATAGAATAGTATATGAATATGCTTGATGGTCTCACGACGGGGTGAAGGGGGAATTCCCCGAGTTATTTCGCGATATACGAGTATATGAAGCGATATAACTCGGGACCAAAATGTAAGCTAAAAATCTAAGGCGAAATGTTTCAAAAATTCGCAGCATGTGGTAGGAAGTCTCGGCTGTTTATAAGCGTATATCGCATTCCTTGCAGGATTTAAGTCGAGCGACGCTTTTAAATATAAGTAGTGCAAAAAACTTACATTCAAATAGAACTATTTTATATCAAAGCATAACAATTTACATTGCTTTGTGGGTTAATATTAAACAATTTAGATGCGATGAAAAACATACATGAGATACAGAAATTATAAGGGACGGTATTATATCTGCATTGAGTAAGGGAAAACATTTGAAATATTTCGACCATGCACAAATCAGATCCGTGGCGTAATTTCGTGCTAGGGAAAATTTTAAATGTTAAGGGAATAAATAATTAAACGGTGACGATTAAATTACCATTTAATCATTATAAACTTGACATGTATCACCGCCTAACTATACTTCCAATAGGTTGGTTTTAATTCGATCGGCTACATGACAATAACTAGATACAATACAGAACTAAACAGGTGAATAACGTATTAACACCTAAATTTGCGAGAGGCGAGTGTTAAAGACCATTTACAACGTGTTTCAAAATAAATCGGTCGGCAGACGGGACAAGCCAAAACGTTAATGTCACGAATGTAACAAAACCACTAGACGGAGTCGACGCACTCGCCGCCTTATGATGTCCAAAGAGGAACAGTTTCTGCTATAACGGGTGGTACCATCTGTCACAAAGATTGCCATGCTACTATAGCGTTTGATGCAATTCGCTAATGAACTAAAATCGACTGAACGATCAATCGATCATAGAATCAAGGAAGCAAATTACTAATGATTAGCAATGTCGGTAAATATCATTTGTACTCTTATGCGTAAATATGGAATATGTCTCCAATAGAATCATCATAACATCAAAGATTGAAGGTTGTAGTCTAATTTTAAATACATTTAGTAAAATAATATTTACTTTGAAGTTTTTGGTTTTAAGCATCCAAGTAGTCAGCTTTACCGAGTCCCTTAAAGTCATTGCAAAGATTGCTAACAGATTTAAATTAGAATAATGAAAAAAGATAATAGAACAATATTTATATATATATACATATATATAATACAGAAATGACTTTCGCATGTTCGCAGTCTTTGGCGTTAACTACCGTGAAACCATATTTATGATATGCACAATGGCCGGTCTCGGCGTACCGCTTATAAACATCGGACGTCGTAACGCAATAACTTTAACCAATAACTTGGTTGATTATTTAAAACAGCACATTTCTATTCGTACATCTCTGTTAAACACTATTATTATTACATTAAGAGAGAAAATTTATCTTTATTTTGACGTAATTATCTGAATAAATTTCAATTCATAGGTTCGCTGATAATATTGTATACAAATCGGGTGTCGTGTAAGCACTGACTTTTAGCTTCAAAGTCTATTGTATGCGTTAAAGATACAATCACTTTAAACAATAATGAACACGTTTGTCTAAAGATCTATAAACATTCGCGAACGTTGACGATGCGACCGGCGTACGCGCCGCGCGAGTTGAATCGAGACTGAACCGTTCTAAATTTGAAATGAAGTGGGTTTAATAACATTACGTATCTTTCTCCATTTTTTTTTTGGTGATTCTGCCATTCATAATTTTCTGTTTCAAAATAATTTTGTGCGATATTTCGTAGTATTCGTATTTAAAAACATTGCTATAATAACCTTGTACCTATCATTTAAAATAAACCGCTTATTACATTTTTAACAGAATTTGTCACCGATTATTAAAATTAGCATAGATTAACCTAGCTGCTTTTTCTTACTTTTCCTAATATTCATTAAGTCGTTTATTTAACTAAGTTTTCCTTCATTCTGCATACATGTTATCTTACTTACCCAAAAAAATTTATTAAGGAAATCCTATAAACGGTTCGGATCACACAAAAAATTCCTTTCACGTAAGACCATTTATTTCAAAAATTTCGGTTAACACAGCGAACACATTTCGAAAATATTCACCATTTTTTTCTTGTATTTTTACAATATATATGTACCTAAATTAAAATAAATAGGATCAATATCTTTCATGACGCATTAAACAATACCGGCCAGTGATGCGTCGACCTTACCTTGAAACCCCCACCGCTATAATTTGAAGCTGTGCCAATACATCTGCACCGAAAGACGCGTTGTACGAGCTTTGCACTCGATATTCCATGAATTTACGACAAAATAATTGATTAAAATATGTTGGACACTGACCTTCAAGACATAACTTGCGTTATTACCAGTACCCGGGTCGCTTCTTTAAACAGTAACTGTTTCACAAACTTGCATATCATCTATTTATAGCACACAATCTTTTGTACCGTGTTCTGGCCGACCTCAAAGCATGGCGCGCAGTAACAGTTGCCAAGGTGACCACCAGTGTATCCACTAAGCTATCCATGCAGTTTTCATTTTTTTGATCGTTTCAAAAATATTATCAAGCAGTACCATTTTGAATAAGTTAGTGTTTCTGCATATCTTCTCCTTCCTCCTGCCTGTACCCCACTTAATTCGGCAAAACATGTGGAACATGTTGGTAATGAGATTCGCTTTTTTTTAACACTCGCAGCCTGTCTGACTTTAGCCCTGCATGGGAACAAACACGCAGATCGGGAACTAGTATGTGGGCGAATCGAACCCACGATCCCGACGCTGAAGCTAATAGCTTAGCAATTGCGCCTACGACTCATATACTATATCATAAAAATCAATATGTTTTAGTTAAATTTGCAAATTAGTCCAGTTCGCGTAGCCCAAGTGATCTGATCTACCGACTCTTTTTTTGATAATTGGTTATATCCGTGCGAAGTCGGGACGCGTTGCTGGTTAAATAATAAAATTCACAGTTACACATGTCTAGTTATCATAAATATACCGTTCTTAATATTCAACGCTTATCTATATAAAATGTGAAAATGAAATCCCATTTATCGTTTTCCAACATGATATGTACTTACATATTGGAAAACGATAAATGGGATTTCAGACATATAAATTTTGTGATTTTATTAGTAGTGCTAATCTACAATTAAGGCAAAATTTAATGCAAATTTAATTTATTACCTATAATGTCGAAAAAGTTTTAAACACGCTTCTGAACCCGCGTATTCTAGGCGCGTTACCCAGTTGTTATTGTCTCGTATCGTTAAAAGACCTTCATCGTTTATTGTTTCATTATAAATTCTATATATAAAAAATTGTATTAATATATGTATTACTTTATAATTTTATATTTTATTTTATTCGTTGAAAAAGGCCTACGCTCGGTAGATTACAAAGGAAAATGAAGAACGATTCCAAATTTAAATACACGCTTTGGTTAATCTCAAAAGTTGCCAGTATTTAAATAGATAACCGTATATAAAGATTTTTATCTTCGGCCTTTACTGGTTGTATAAATGTTTGCGTTGGCGCTAACAATATCCGGGCCGAGGCACCGCCACATATGTCACGAGAGTAAGCTGACGTTGGGTTTAAATGTATTCATCCATTCAAAACGCAAAGTTCCGTTGCGTTTTCCTCTTATGGGGTGCAAAACATAAACACTGATGTTATTTCATAAGCGGCACATTTATTTTGTCAAACTGAGGGCACCCTATGTGTCGAAAGATAATAATAATCAGTTTTATCTTTTAGAGTTAGGTCTTTTCATGACATCAAAAATGAGTCTGTTATTACTGATGGATCAGTTAAGAAAATTGCATTGCCTTGAAATATTAGCCTTTTTACTTTTCTATAAAATGCAATAAATAGAATTAAGTGTCAAAAGATTTTTCTACTTGGAAATAAATAAATGTAAAAAGAATGGTTCTTAAGAAAACCCCCCCCCCCCCCCCCCCCCCCCCCCCCCCCCCCCCCCCCCCCCGCCCCCCAACATTTATAGAGATCCGCTTTTGTGAGGGACGAAAGCTTCTTCGGAACAAATGGGTTTTGTCTCTAAAATGTTAGGGTCAAATTGATGGTATCTAAATCAGTTTAATGGGCAATTATAAAATAGAGTTGCCACTTTAAATCAAAATTATTGTAAAACTTTCAAACTTTTTCTAGTAGTAGAAAACATTTGAAAGTTGAGTTTTAATGGATATATTTGAATTCAGACAAATTTAACTTTGTGTAAGTTTTGTATTCCATTATAATTTATGTCCATTGGCATCAAGACAAAAAATTATATATATTACTCTCGGCTATTAATTTTGCAGAACGATCAGGAATGTGAATTTGATAAGATAATAAGTAGCTCTATCAATTTTTAACAATTCATAAGTCATTAAATAGCATATCAATCAAAAAGGTTAGGTGATACAATCGACCTGTGATCCAAAAATAAGTAAAATCGAGTCGAGGCTCAAGCAAAAGTAGTGCAAACTGTCAAGATACTGTTAACGTTTTTCGCGTCGAAGGAATTATAGTTTTAGAAACTTTATTTTTTTTTTATCTAACGGTGGTCATTTTTAATATTGTCATTAGTATTCTTCATGTCTCCGTCAACCCAGAGACAATGTGGATGCTGAAAAAATTAACTTTAATTATAATGTTTAAGGCTTAACGCCGGAAATTTACATTTGATTTAAATACAATAAATCCGTA